ATATATTTATATATATTTATATATTTATATATATTTATATATATATTTATATATATAAATATGTATATATTTATATTTTATATATATATAAACTTTGCTAAAACATAGCAACTGTCCCCCGAAGTATATTTATGTTGTCAGTGTTATGATACACGTACCTTTAATTGTAAGGAACGACTGCAACGATAGATCATTTAATATCAAGAATTTGTGAACTTACTGGTTAAATGCTGAATGAATTAATGAATGGACGGTCTTTGGACCTCTGAGCTCTATGGCATGTAGTCTAAGTTGTGCACCACTACCCATGTCAGGATTTGGTTTCCTTTCCTCCTGGGTACTTATAGAGTATACTTCTCGGAAGTTTTTGTGGTTATATTGAGCCATATATCTAATTCTGACCACTGGGCTGTGAGTAGAGGCAATACTTGCTACTTCCAGAATAAGGCAGAGAAAAGCGTTGTCCCCTCTATGAGAAGAACTAAAAGCCATGAGTTGAACCGGAAGACAAAAGGCAACTGAATCCCTGACTTATCACTTGAAGCAGTTGTTTTGGATCCACTGACTCACAAAAGTCACTTCATGAGTAAGAAATAAGTCTGTTTTGTGTCTTATCACATTTTCAGGATATTTCAAGGTTGACTAGTTACTATAGCAGAGCTTAGACCATCATGACCACCACGTATAGGGGTTATATTTAAATCCTCAAAGGATTTTGCACAGGACTTTGCTTTAAAAAATACTGTATCTAATAAAAAAAAGCTACTTATTGTACCTCAAGGAACAATAACCAAAGTTTGAATGCTTAAGGTAGTGTTCTAAACACAGCAGAAATTCAGAAAATATTGACAGATCAGATACACACAATATACCAATTCTTACTACATCCATCTTATTCATACTTTATAAATTATTCACTCAACAAACATGCACTATGTGCCAACTAGCTCTGTGATACTATTTTGGACTCAAAGATAAAACTGACACCATGACATCAAAAATGACTTTACTAGAGGGGTGCATGGGTGGCTCAGACAATTGAGCATCTGACTCTGGCCCAGGCCATGATCTCATGGTCTGTGAGTTCGAGCCCCTCATCAGGCTCTGTGCTGACAGCTCAGAGCCTGGAGCCTGCTTCAGATTCTCTGTCTCCCTCTCTCTCTGTCCCTCCTCCACTCATGCTCTGTCTCTCTCAAAAAATAAACATTTTTAGGGGCGCCTGGGTGGCGCAGTCGGTTAAGCG